GAGGTCCCTGGTCTATATGGTAAGGATATAGAACTGATATCCCATTAGTCAGTTTATATGATAAAATACATTTTGTCTTCTACCTTTTCATCTCCTACCAAGAAGAGAACAGTCTTCTCTTACGTTGTTCAAGATCGACAAGAATGAATTTTTTTATTAATTCTAGGTACGCAATTATTTCTAAACCTTACTCAGACATACTATAATATTGTATCTTATATTATTCGTATTTGAGTTATCACTATGAATTTCTTTCAGCAAAAACATGGTGTTGAGGAAGATGCACAATGTTGGGGAGGACACGCACAGTGTGGAGGTGGTACAAGGAGACACAATTTCATATTTAGTTAGGAGATGGGAGAAAAAGTTGCAAAGGAGGTGTGGGGGCTAGGGGAAGAGAAGGCACACCACAAAAGGAATGGGAAGGTGACGCAAGGTAGGGGTGGGGCAATGGGATGGAGTTGTGGTGGTGTGTAGGGGCAAGAAAAGGGAGATGAGGTGGTGTGCTACCAATATGTAATCAATGTATAAAACAATTTTTTTTACATCGATGACTTTTACATCAATTTTGTAATTGATATAAACTGTCTTTTTTAACTTATGTAATAAAACCTCTATTAGTGTATTATGTGTATCAATTTTTTTCTAAGGTTTTATTTTGTTCATGATTCATTAGAGTAGAATAGTGATTTTATAACATGGTTTTAGGTTAGTAGCAAAGCATTTGACATAAATAAAAATAAATAAAAAAGGTTGCATTTTTATAAATAATGTCACTTTTTGTATTAGTTGGACAAGCAACTAATATAAAAGCATTTTCTATATCGATTGAAATAACTAATATGGAAAGAGATTTAAATCAATGTTGCAAACCATATACATGCATTTGTGCTCTCAATCTTTTGCCCTTAACATGTTCATTTTTGTGGTTGTCCTCCTCTTGATCCTTGTGTGTTTGTCTAGGTAACCTTTTTTTTTCTTTTACTTTCAATTTTTTAGCTTTTGTTGATTTTAATTGTATTTTTTCACATCTTCCATTTTAATTGCAACTAAATAATCTTAGTTTCGGCCAACACCATTAGGCTTCTCATTGGTAATCATTTCCCTAACGAATCTTGCATTAGGTGCTTCATAATCACTAGTGTTATTGCCCTTCATGAAAGGAGTCACACCCACAAAGTTTTTTTTTTGTCTTTTCTTTGATAGTAGAGGGAGATGTTGCAACTTTCTTAGCTTTGAACTTGTTTGGGAAGAGACATTTGACAACGCGAAAGTAGATGCTCTAGTAGAGTGCTTAACTTATGCAATGGCAAGAAAGGAGTAGGATTTGGTTTTGTACTTGCTCAACATGGTAGAAAGAAAGAGAGAGAGAGAGATAAAGAGATTAGAGATAGCATGATGGAGGACCATCCTTGAAGGCCATAAAACCTTTGACAAGGTCTATGGTTAAAAGGCTAGAAGAAGCCACTAGAAAGGTTGTACTTCTTAGACTTTTGTTTATCATGAGCATAAGGTATGTGTTCTCCTCCTAGTTGCTTAGTGATTTATTGTATATATTTTGTATAGTTTTCTTTCCATTTCTTTGTATATAGTAGTTAAGTGTATAGGTTGTTTTTGTCCTTGTATTTAAAGGTGTATGTTTCTTTATTTTTAGGTCATGCCTTTAGGATTCAAAGGCATGTTCCTTTTTTAAATGTATTTCATTTGACCTTGTATTCATGAAATGTATTTCATTTTGACCTTGTATTCATGGTCATCAAATTTTAGTTTATGAGTTTAGTAGTTGGAGTGGAAATAACCATTCTAGTGGTGTGCCAATAGCCATTTTAGGTGGTGTGAAAATAGCAAAGGTGTAGAAATAGATAAAAGTGGTATTGGGCTTGTTTTTCTTCTCTTGGCCTAAAGAATTGATTTGACTTGGTTCAACCTTCATTTGGTTAACCAAAGCAAACTAATTCCCTAGTTTTTTTGTTTGACCAAGACAAGCCAAGGCCCCCATGCCCACCCATCTTTGTTATTTTTTCACCTTGGAGCCACCTCTCCATACTACCTAGTGACAAGAGGACACTTGACACTTGCTTATTGGTTCTTCTAGATCTAATTGTCTCCTACATGTCTCAAACATGTCCACTTGGCTTGTTTGTGATTGGTGGAACTAGATCTAAATGTCTTCTCCTTGTCTCCTAGATGTTTAGCTTCCCCTCCAGGCTACCTAGCTTTATATATAGGAGTTTTGACCCATTGTGTAGAAACTTTGAGATTTACATTAAACTGAATGACTACTTCTCTCTAATTTTCTCTCTTAAAGCTTGTTTTTTCTCTTTGAATTGCTTCTTTTTCTCTTATCATTTCTTGAGTGTGGTGAGAAATTGAAATAACTTATCATTCTTTAAGAGTGTGGTGCTATTGAGGAAAGCTTCTACCTTACTTTGTTAAGTGAAAATGGCTTCTAGCACCGACGGAAGTCATTGAAGAAGTTTGAAGGAGTTCAAGAAGTGAAGATCCTTCCTTAGAAGCTTGAACGAGAAGCTATATCAATCTTGTTTCTCCTAGTGTTTCCATCATAGCACTTTTATGGTTTAGGATTTATCTCAATTATCATTATTATCAACATTAAAAGAGCATTTCTATGTCGAATCATTAGCCAACATAGAAAGTTAAGAATTTTTATATTGTTTGTATCTATGTCGATTTATGAAATATCATAAAAAAAAAAAGTCTATTTTAACTAACATAAAAAGTGTTTTGTGTAACGATCTAACAGGTCTTTACACTTACTATAGTTTAGTGGCTAAATAATGAAAAACATAAATATCTACTAATCTATGATTAACATGCAAGCAATACACACACACACACACACACACATATATATATATATATAGACACACACACAAATATATGAATTGAAAAACATAAAAATCTTAAGTTGTTGATTATGCAACAACTAGATGCATCATAACAACCTCCACCAAAAAAGTGTTATCACAAGCATGACTCAAAATCATGTTCGCCCTTCGGCCTAATCTTGCCTTACTCCAATAATGATATGATCATCGCAATCCAACAATAAGGAAAAATAAATGCAAGCTTGCATGCAAAGAAAACAACATATATAAAAGCATAAAGATATATATGTATAGGAGTAAACAACTTAAAACTTAAAGACCCTTCAATGAGATTAAAACATAATCTTGTACATACATACGTACATATATATATACACACACACACATAAATATCTGAATTGTAAAACATAAAAATCTTAAGTTGTTGATCAAGCAACAACTAGATGCATCAGAACAACCTCCACCAAAAAAGCGTCATCACAAGCATGACTCAAAATCATGTTTACCCTTCGGCTTAATCTTACCTTACTCCCATGATGGTATGATCATCCCAGTCCAACAATATGAAAAAATAAAGGTATGTTTGCATGCAAAGAAAACAACATATATATATAAGAAGTTAAGCCAATTATATAAACATCGTCAACATCAACTTCTCAACAACAACCATATGCTCAACCCAAACAATACAGATAATCAACTCATCAAATCAACTTCACAACATTTATATAATTCAACATCTTTACAACTCAACACCCAACAACTCAGCAACTTGATAATATATTGTACAACACAACATTTTATCGATATAACATTTTCACAATACAACTTTAGGCATTGTCATGCATTTCAACTAAAAGATCTTTTATAACACAAGTGAGCAGTGTAAGTATTTTGACTCTACAAAACCAACACAACACGACCTTTTTGACTTACTAGGTGAAAAACAAAGTTGGATATCCATCCTTTTACAACATGATTTATCAGATTACGCCACTTACATTAAGAAAGTCCAATACCAGTTGTCATGTATAGTATAGCTTGGATGTGGGCTCACTACGATATTGTCATGCATTAACCAAATCACATATGAGTATAGCTCGCAAACTATCTCGTGATATCATACACCTTTCTAGTAATCAGTTAATGATTTTATCTTTTGACTTCATAACTTACTTAGTTTGATCACTTTTGAACCATTATGGCTCAACCTTACCCCTATACAGCATCAATTAAGGATTTAAACAAGACTCAACACTTCATTTCCATAGGCAACAAACTCAAGAAGAGTTTTTCAACAATTGATCTCTTAAAGCACCACAACACATATCCACAAAATGAAATATTTCAACTTTTAAAACGACACATCTCCTCTAGTTTTAAGTTCACAATACAGTTCAACAACATGCTTCAACAACATAGTTGTATAGCACAATCTAACAACATGCATCATGCATTTTATCAACATAACATGACCTTTATAAACCTTTATGGCGCGACAGTCATAGCAAGCACCATGGTTGACACTGCCATAAAACGCCAAATAACAGATGACGAATGACGATTTAGTTGAAAACCTTTACGCTATTTCATTATAACAAGATTATAATGATTATTTGATAACATTGATTCAATCCAAGCAAAATAATTGAAAGTCACACAAAACACAAATAAGTAAATTTGTTTATACATAAATTAAAACCAAGTTTTTGAAAGAATAAAAAAACTAAAATGAGCTTATTCACTCAAATAAATCGATTAACCAATTTTGATTACTTCAACAAGTTGATTAGCCTATTCTGATTAACTGATGACAATGATTAATCTTAATACTTGTTGATGTCAATGATTAGACTACTTTGATTACTTCTACGAGTTCAATTGAGTAAGACTTCAAAATACTTTATGTCAAAGATGTGAAATAAGTGCAATTTAATTATTGTAGTTCCTACTTCTTAGTTCTTAATTCGTTTGGACACCCATGCACTTGGGATGCCGTGGCTTGTTTTTCTTTTATTGGTGGTTGAGTAATAAAACTTCCTCACGCTAAGTGTAAAGAACACGTTTAGTAGAGAGAAGAATTAGGATCCATACAGAAATGAAACCAACACAATTACCAAGAATCATGCAGAAAATAACACACCTTAGCTTAAAAGAGGATTATCATAAAGTTAATGTGAAAATAATGATGCTACAACTCAATAATAGGAGAAACCAGGAAGAGCTACGTTGGGAAAATTTCCTGGAGGTTATTGTTCTGTCAAAACTTAGTACTCCATAGATGCTCATAATAATATCCAAAAATAGCCGTAATATGGCAAGCAATGAAAAAATAACACACACAGAAAACACTACTACTCCCTTGTTTTCCAAAGACACTTGATTTTCCTGGACCTTTTCAACCTCAGCCCTGCATTAGCAAAGAAACAAAAATATAATCATACCCTAGACAAAATTTACTAAAAAACACAAGACACTATAGTATAATCAATAGGTTAATGGGTAAAAAAACAAAACAATCTTCTTCATAGTTCTTGATAAACAATGACAAGTCAAAGGATAACAATAGAAAAGACCAAGAAAATAAAATGCATGGACATTAATACACTGCTTATGCATGAAGGTACTCCCATATTAGAGACGGTTTGTTTCATTTTTTTTTCCATGAAAATCACTTTCATTTTGCAAAAGAATAAATAAATAAATAAAAACACTTAAAAAAATTGGTGTTTGTTTAAGCTTTTGAGAGAGAAAAAAAAAAAAAAAAAAAAAAAAAAAAAACTTAAAAAAATTGGGGTTTTTTTAAACTTTTTGAAGAAAAAAAAAAAAAAAAAAAACACTTAAAAAAATTGGTGTTTTTTTAAGCTTTTGAGAGAAAAAAAAAAAAAAAAAAAAAAAAAAAAAAAGATCCTCAATTATTTCAGAAGTTGTTTTGAGTGGATTTAAAAAAAAAATTGAAAAAAAACTAACCATAAATAACTTTCAACATAAAAAGTACTTTCTGTAACTGTAACCAAATAAAGATAGCATTGGTTTAAAAAGCTTAAACATAAACAAACTGGCCTAAATTTATTTACCAAAAAAATAAACCTGGCCTAACTAGTTACTAAATCTGAAGTGAACTAGCCCTTTATAGTGGAAAATCAAAGAAAAGCTTGTAAATTCTCACCTTAAAACAGCATTGTCAATAAGTACATGATCCAGTTGCACAGAAAAATGGGACTTCCAAGAATCAAGATCACTAACTTCTTTCATCTGCAAGGACAACAAATTTTTAGGAAAACAGAAAGTAAAACTATAGTGATTATAGACAAATATTGCCAAAATATACAGGAAGAAACATAACATACCATAACATCTTGTCGTTCAAGGAAACTCCTAATTTCTTCATTGATCTTCTCTAGAAGTAGATCTTTTTCTCCCATGTCTTTGCTGTACCTTTTGAAAATATTTACATATCTAGAATTTAATTCCTCCATATACTGTTCCAAAACAGATAAATTTAAGTCTAGATATCGAACTTTCTGCATCAAAATCTTGAGAACTGTGTCCCCAGGCATCCGGCCAACTTGTTGCCGGATTTCGTCAACTGGATCAGGAGCATTTCTATTTACATTCACAGCTTCTTGGTTTTCAGAAGAGATTTCTGAAGCAGGATCAGAATTGATCCCTATGTAAGTATTTTGCCGGACATAGTCAGCCTCAGCAGAGTTAGGATGGGATGATGCTACCCTCTTCTCACCATTACCTTCCCCAGATGAAAATGTCTTATCTTGTGCATTTATCAAATCCTCCAGCATTCTTTCAATGACATCCACCCCATAAACTTCAAATATGCTCAGTGTGCAATAAAATTCTGAACCGTAGTGGCTTTGAAGATTCAATTTTAGATATCTCACCCATTTTTGCTCCTGAAGAACAAAGCTTTGAGCCTGCTTCACATTTGAGGCCGTGAAATTCCCAAGGAAAATCCAACTGTCTGTTGGATAGACCAAACTGCCATGCAATTCAAAATCTTTGAAATTGGAAGAATGGTGCTCAAAATTAGCCATTTTTATTGTTTTTACCAAGGTTTCTTCTGAAAGTTCTATAATAATGAATTTCTCTTCTGAAGAACATGGATTTCGGAGGTATTTGTCTTTGTTTCTGGTTAGAATGTCAGAGGCACCTTTGGCTTCTTTGTTAGAAGCCAGCACTTTTGCACCCTTTGATGTTGAAGCATAATTGTATTCTGCACCACCAGGCTCTAATCTGTGTATTACACTTTCAGATGGATTAGTTGCTGACTTAATTTTTGAACCAATTGCCCTACTCTTGAATTCATCAAGACCAAGAGGCATTGTCTGAGACAAGTGATTAAACTTATGAACACCATTTTGATGTTTAGCATCAGATTCAGTTATCTCAACTCCATGCTCCTCTATATTAGGAGAAATGTAATTTTCTTTATCACCCTGTTCAACATAGTTTATGCTTTCTCCACTGGAAAGTGATTCACCAATAAAATTATCAGTTTTGGCACCATCTGAGCGGAAATTCTCAGAAGGAATGTAAACCTCATCAGTCTGTTTAGTCAAATATTCATCGTCAGAATTAGAGTCTTTACATTGTCTTTGTTCATCTTCATTCCAGTTTGAAACAGCAACTGGAACTTCTATAGATCCATCTACATATAGACAACAAACCGACTAAATAAGAATAAGCTAGAAACATCTGCAAGGAAAGGGGATTCTTTGTTTTTTCAAAGACAATGTCATATATGTTTGTCCTCAAAAACAGTTTCCTTTTTGGAAAAAAAAGCAAAAAGAAATAAATGTGTACATTAGATATATGTGCATTAATTTAAAAAAAAATGGATTTTTCTTGCATTTAAAACTAAAATGTAATAAACATTAACAGTAAGATTTCATCACCAATAACAGTGTGCAGTTGCCTCGGACAGAATAAGCTTAATCGTGGGCTGGAACAATCAGCAATCCTTTTATTACACAATTGAAATACATGAATTTTGGTTTGTTGAAATCTTTCTTTTAAATTATTTCTTTCACTTTAGAGTCTTCACCATTTCTGTACCTTGTAATCTTACTAGCAACTAGTTAGCTGAATCCAATTATACAATAAAGAAGGGTTTTTCCTTGGATTATGTAAAAAAATGGCAGTAATATACAAAGCTGAACCTCTGTTGTATTATGAAGCATGGAAAGTACTTGAATCTTGTAATGAAATTGTCAGATTTTATTCAACTACACAGGCTATGTTTGTTTAAATGTTCCGAAGCCTCAAACATCCATTGAAGCCAATGATACAAGAGACATGGATTGGCGTTAAGGCGCATAGAAATGGGTGCTAACTAAAAAACAAACACACACTTAGTACTTACATGTCAATGGGAAGGCTTCTTCTCCCCAACAAAAAAGTTGAAATTTCACAAAGGAGTGAGAAAAGGGAGAAAAGGATTGTAAAAGTTCAAGAATTTTTAATTTTAGATCTGGCTCTTGTGGTAATACATAATTCCTATTTAAAAGCCAAAACTTTAAGATTATATCCACCTTTCACATTGCGCTGTAAAGTGTGGCAATCATACTTAATTTAATTTTAGTATTTAAAAAACACTAGTATTTTAGTCGGTGAAATCTGATATGTAAATTTTGTGATATGAGAGAAGGCAAATTAGTTTAAATCAGAAAAGAAATTAAGGAATCAAAGAAAAGATGAAGGAATCAGAATAGAGGAGAAGGAATCAAAATCAGGAATAAGGGAGGAAGAAGAGAAATCTTCGAAAAAAATTATATGAGAACCAACAATATTTGCATAGGGAGAGAAATATCTCTTTGCCTGAGAGAAGAGAATTTGCACAAAATTCAATGTGAGAGAGTAGAGAAAGTGAAGCTTTTACACACAGTTATTCTTATTTATATAGAAAAAGGATTTCAAGATCAATAACTTAAAAACTAGCATGATTTGTTTCAATTTTCTGATATTTTTCCCCCTAACCAGTCCTAGTCTTCCAAAAATCTAAGCTAAGTCAAGAGACTCTATAGTAAGTCATGCCCTCTGATAATCAAAGACACTGCTGGAAGAAATTATTGAGTCTTTTGCCGCAAAAAAAGTAATCATTTTGACTATACCCCTAATTCATTAACAACATAAACACATCGTGCATATAAATTGGAAGCACAAAGCTTCCACTGCAATGGAATCATTAGGAAACATAGGGATAAAAGTGATGAATATGTGTATTCTAAGATAAGAAATTAATTATTTGCAATTTATTAGATCTGTTCCATCAAAGAACACAGACTAACTGATCCAAAACTCGCTGCTCAATCATAAAACAAGGCCATGCATCCATCTGCCACAACCATTATTTCTGATGGCAATCTACCAAGCAAAAACAGTGACAAGTAGAGAAGGAATCTCATTCACAGCATGCCTCAAAAGCTAAAAACAAATCCAGCAGAACAAAAAAGTACCTCCATAACCAAGGCCACGGCTTATCCACAAGAGGAAGACCAGGCCCCATAAAAAAACCAACGACAGAGAAACTTTATACAGGTAGTTCCTTCCACTTGTAGCCTTCTCTATTGCTCTTCTTTCCAGAAGAGCTTTACGCGATCTCTGCATTGCACATCAACCCAATTCACTCCAACACCCCTGCAACAACAAGCAACACATCTTTTTCCCTCAGTCAAACCTCTAAGATGCAAAATCAAAAGGGTGTGTAATGCATCAATTAACTTATAAGTTCAGCAAAGTGCTTGATAAGAACCTTGGGCGACCACACCACAAAAACTAGCTATTGCAGTTGGAGAGCCCAAGGCCTTATAAACCCCACACTAGTATTCCATACTTCCAATGTGGGACTCAAGTCCCTTGCCTTGCAATTGGATCGTACAGTGCTACACATAAAATAAGGCTCTAAACTCTATGAGGGATCACAACAATGCAAGAACACACACACATAATAAAATAAAAAAAATCTTGTAAATCTAAAGTGTTAATGCAGTAAAATACAAATACAAATAAATCATTCCCACCAAAGTACCACTAAAAGATGAAAAGTTCAATTCTAAGCAAAGCTTCAAGTGTCTCTCCACTACATGGTGCGAAAATTTTGAACCAATACCACAAACACATCTTAATAGTAAAGCAAAAGAATACCCTTTTACATGAAAAGAAATAACAAGGCACCAAAAACGATAATGACAAGATCCTATTCCAAATCCAATCAGCAACACAACAACTGAAACTGTTTATAGCCAAAGCAAAGAAAACCAAGGAATGCTACACTGAAAAGGGTGACATGAGGAACAGAAAAGGCATGAATGAAATCCAAAGGGTCAAGAAATGAAGCTAGAATTGAGGTGAAACAGAAGAAAATGACATGTGGGATCGAAATCAGGAAGAGAAGAAAAAACCTTTGGGATTGAGAAACAGTGGAATTGAGATGAGTGAGAGAAGGGAATGGAGTTTGCAGAAGAAGGAACAGAACGCGTTGAAGATGCATCCAGGTTGTCTTGTCTTTTGAATTCAAACCCACGCTTTCTCTCTCTCTTTGTTCCTTCCTATGCTAACAACAACAAACGTTACTCCCACTGCTGCTCAAAACTCTATAGGAAAATGCTTTATTATTTTCCTTCTAATTCATCACTTACGATTCTCAATAAATATTTCTTCACACTAAATTATCATTTTGGCTTCTCAATTTGGAAAATTAATCCAAATATTAAATGAGTCAAATTATATGAAAATAAGTCAACTTATTTAATATTTTTGTAAAAAATTTAATATGTTAAACATTACTATAAAATTAAAACATTCCATCAAGATTAACATTCCGAAGTCCGTCCATCATTGATGTGAAATTTTATTATCAAATAATTTTGATTAGTGAATATGTCTCTTTTATTATTAAATATTGACGTTCATTTTATTAGTATTGTTTTTTAAAAATGTTATTAGTATTGTTTAGCTTAATGATATAGTAATATAGAAGAAATGTTGGTAACACATTTTCTATTATACTTTTTTTTAAATGCATTCTTTATTTGATTGAATTTTATTAAAAATATGAAATTAAAATTGGTATGTCTCACATCTTATTTAATAATTGTTTTCTAATTTTAAATTTTTTAATAAATTTTAATTAATAAAAATGAGTGTTAAGAGAAGTATGTGAATAGTATTTCTAATTAATATAATGTATGCATAACAAAATTATTTATTTTTGTCAATATTATTAGAAGATTTTTAAAAGTTCGATGATTGTTTATCTAAATACAATGAAAACCAACACACACGTCGTTTTGAAAATAATGCAGATAAATATGATTTTCAATAATAGAAGAAGTAAATTTAGTTCTTCACCTCGAGATTTATGGGTTTATTTGTTCTTTATTATTGAGAATTTATTAATTCAGTACTTATGAATTGATTTAATTTAGATTTGGAATAAAATAAAATCTAAATCGATTTTATTTTCGCAAAATCAATTATGTTTTATTTATTTTTCTAAAAAAAAATATAAACTAAATTAAATTAATCCAATTAAAATTGCGTTAGTTGGTTTGAATTATTTGATTATAATAAAATATATTATATTTTTGAATAAAAGCAAGTAATACACCAACAATATAAATAATTGTGATTTCAATCACAAAAATTCATCAAAATATAATAAATTTAGTGACTTTTATATACTAATTTTGGTAAGTTGTAAAACTTATTACATTAATACTCATTTTTTAAATTCTTGTCCTCACTTATTAATTATTATGTTTTTTTATATAAAATGTTAAGTTTTATATTACTATCAATTAAACACATTCTTTATTATTTTACAATTATAGATAATTCATTACTATATATTAAATAAAAAAAATTATCTTATGTGATAATATTTTTAAAATTTTTCTTTTTATGAGTGGATTTGTAGAAAAAATTTTTAACTTTTATCTAATTTGATTTTATTTATTATAATTATTTATAAAAATAAATATTAATATTTAAAATAAATTATCAATAAATAAAAATATTTGTTTACAATATAAATGAAGCTAAATTATATTTTTAGTCTTTTATTTTTATCAATCCGTAATTTTAACTTTTCTGTTTTAAAATAGAGACATTTAATTCCTTTAATTTTAAAAATATAAAATTTTGATCCTCTAGTCAAATTTATATTTATTAATCGTTAAGTTTAAACTTTAACTCATACTTCAATAATATGATATTTAGTATTAAAAGACTAACAAAAAAAATGTAAATAAGATTTTTATTAATAAAATAGATATCAAAAACTTGTAAAAATACATATACAACAAAAATCTTTTGTATGTTACATTTAAATTTTATCATTATATTTCACGTCACTTAAGTGATAAAAGATCACTATATAACATCAAAATTTAATAATTATTGAATATTAAATTGACGGTAAGACAAAAATTTTGTATTTAAAAAAAAGAACAAAATGTCTTTATTTTAAAATAGATGGACCAAAATTATGGACAGACAAAAATATAAGAATCAACGGTGCAATTTAACCTATAAACTATTTATCATAAATGTAAAATTCAATTTATATGTTTTAAAATATCTATTTATATAAATTTTAAATATAATTTATATATTCAAAACATAATATTTATATATATATATATATATATATATATATATATATATATATATATATATATATATATATATATATATATATATATATATATATATATATATATATATATATATATATATATATATATATATATATATATATATATATATATATATATATATATATATATATATATATATATATATATATATATATATATATATATATATATATATATATATATATATATATATATATATATATATATATATATATATATATATATATATATATATATATATATATATATATATATATATATATATATATATATATATATATATATATATATATATATATATATATATATATATATATATATATATATATATATATATATATATATATATATATATATATATATATATATATATATATATATATATATATATATATATATATATATATATATATATATATATATATATATATATATATATATATATATATATATATATATATATATATATATATATATATATATATATATATATATATATATATATATATATATATATATATATATATATATATATATATATATATATATATATATATATATATATATATATATATATATATATATATATATATATATATATATATATATATATATATATATATATATATATATATATATATATATATATATATATATATATATATATATATATATATATATATATATATATATATATATATATATATATATATATATATATATATATATATATATATATATATATATATATATATATATATATATATATATATATATATATATATATATATATATATATATATATATATATATATATATATATATATATATATATATATATATATATATATATATATATATATATATATATATATATATATATATATATATATATATATATATATATATATATATATATATATATATATATATATATATATATATATATATATATATATATATATATATATATATATATATATATATATATATATATATATATATATATATATATATATATATATATATATATATATATATATATATATATATATATATATATATATATATATATATATATATATATATATATATATATATATATATATATATATATATATATATATATATATATATATATATATATATATATATATATATATATATATATATATATATATATATATATATATATATATATATATATATATATATATATATATATATATATATATATATATATATATATATATATATATATATATATATATATATATATATATATATATATATATATATATATATATATATATATATATATATATATATATATATATATATATATATATATATATATATATATATATATATATATATATATATATATATATATATATATATATATATATATATATATATATATATATATATATATATATATATATATATATATATATATATATATATATATATATATATATATATATATATATATATATATATATATATATATATATATATATATATATATATATATATATATATATATATATATATATATATATATATATATATATATATATATATATATATATATATATATATATATATATATATATATATATATATATATATATATATATATATATATATATATATATATATATATATATATATATATATATATATATATATATATATATATATATATATATATATATATATATATATATATATATATATATATATATATATATATATATATATATATATATATATATATATATATATATATATATATATATATATATATATATATATATATATATATATATATATATATATATATATATATATATATATATATATATATATATATATATATATATATATATATATATATATATATATATATATATATATATATATATATATATATATATATATATATATATATATATATATATATATATATATATATATATATATATATATATATATATATATATATATATATATATATATATATATATATATATATATATATATATATATATATATATATATATATATATATATATATATATATATATATATATATATATATATATATATATATATATATATATATATATATATATATATATATATATATATATATATATATATATATATATATATATATATATATATATATATATATATATATATATATATATATATATATATATATATATATATATATATATATATATATATATATATATATATATATATATATATATATATATATATATATATATATATATATATATATATATATATATATATATATATATATATATATATATATATATATATATATATATATATATATATATATATATATATATATATATATATATATATATATATATATATATATATATATATATATATATATATATATATATATATATA